ACGCAATCGAACTCTGCATACATACCGTACATACCGCAAACCATGACCCATCGACAAGGTTGATTATGGAGTGGAGTAACATCGACACAGACACGATTATAAATAAAGTGGTTTCAGTAGTTAAAGCCCATGAAGGGGTGCAGTACTTTTATCGCTGTGAAAATCCTGTTTTTTCGATAATAGTTTCATTGAAATCAAACTGAGCTCGATGAAATTTCGTATTCTGGCTCTTCGTTCAGTTGCCGCCCAGATTCTCAAGAATGATCTTGATCGCACATGCGGGGGGCGAAGATAATCAAAAAAATCTAGCTGGATGAAATACCTTTGCCGTGAGGTGTATACATACACGAGCAAATCACGGAACGTTTTCTCAGTTATAGAGCTGATTGTATCATAATTTGCCTGGCAAACAGTTTGGACTCAGACGTTGTCTCTGACTTCGTGCAAACATAGTAGGTCAACAACCGAAGGAAAGCCGCAATTATCATCCTTATGAAAGACGTCAAAATATGGGAAACATCATTACATTATGGATGTCAGCTGGAGTATAACGAAACCCGAATGTAACCATAAGCTACGAAAATGAACGGTTCAAAATTATTTCTTCTGAATAGGGAAAAAACGTATATTTCGGATGCTGACAGTAAGCATGAATTCCCTCCATAATGCTAGGCGCGCTGATAATAGATATGGATGCAATGAGAAAATAATCCTCCGTTAAGTCTTCAATGTTCCACTCACCAGGGACTAAATATCAATCCTGGTTACGTTCCGGCTCGTTTTGCCCGTTGTCCTCGGTGGGGGTCGCAGCATCCGCAATAGGTTGCACGACTAAACTGCCAGCAATGATGTCGTATGTGCAGCGATGGTATTGAAAGAACAGCATACAGAAGAACGAAAAAATGGTAAGAAAACTCGTTCCCTTAAGCATGGAACGTACCAGTGCCCTGAAAAAGAAGAACGTATAGCATAGGAGCGTTTTTTAGTGAAGTGAAACAGAAAAATAGGAAAAAATCTATTTTACCGTGTATTTAAAATATAGCACAGAAACTTGGAAATTTAACATAGGATTCGGTGTGGAGTAGCACAACGCATAAGAACAGAGTACAGCACTGACATTATATTTCACATTGCGCCAAACAAATCACGGCACAACAACTTTTATAACAAAGAAAAAGGTTTAAGATTTTCTAGTAGGTGGGATAGTACCGTGTATTGAGTATCTTGAAATAACTCCACAACTAATTTGAGCTAGTTTACAGTCACTCTTCGTGCTCGTTTCTAGCGTATGCGTAAACGCGCTTCGGCAGTCGGTCAGGAGAAACATGGAGAATAGCCTAAGATGAAGGTTTTCCAAATGGGTACCTAAGAACTTGGAGCACGGTATACTTCGCGGTCACCCACACAGATGAAGGGGGTTTTCTCTGGGAACCCTAATCGAAGCCATTGACTCAAGTCTGGCCCGCAAGGCAGTGGGGCGTAAATCCAACGCAGGATAGTAATCGGGGCACCCATGCGGGATTTTCTGGAGATCTGTTACGTAAGGCCTTTGAATTTCGGTTTGTTGTTTGCTGGTGCGTTGATTGTAGGTTCGCTTTTCGGGATCGGCTCTCAACCTCATTCACCCAATGAGTGAAATGGGGACGAGACAGCACTTTATTGACAGGGGCTGCCCAGCTTGGGCGGGCGGCAGCTGTCCATTGAAGTGCGAAGACTTCTCCCACCAGTATGAGAAAGCCCCAGGTACCCCGCTCTCACGTCCATCTAGCGGGGTTTTACCTATCGTTCCGTGTTTGATGTAGTTGACAAGATGCTAGTGGTTGAGTCTGTTCTCTTTCGTTTATTCGAATATTTATCACGCACTTTCGTGCGACATACTTTGTGGCATCCAATACTGACGGAGTATTTCTTTGGGAACCCGGATAGGAGCCTCTAACTCCAAAGTTTGATCGGTAAGGAAGTCGGGTGTAGATACAAAGCAGGAGCGTGATCGAAGCATCCATGTGTGAGTCGCGACAGAGCATTCGGATTTCGGCTCAGTATGTGATTTGCTGGTGCGCTGATTGGCAGTCCGCCGTTTGGGATCGGCACTAAGCGCCCAATGTGACAGGCGGAAGGTGAACGGAGCAGTGCCTTACTGGTTGGGGGGTGGTAGCTATCCAGTGAAGTGCAAAGACTTCTCCCATCGCCGGGAGGAAGCCCCAGTCAATGGCGATCAAACCAAGACCTGTTATGAGGGTATGAAAACCCTTACCAGGAGACTCGATCAAATGGGTTGAATCGATGAGCAGGACTTTCATGCATTTGTCTTTTAAGGAACTATCAGCAGAGCAGATTCATCTATCAAAAAAGAATAATACAGTCTATCTCCCGTTATGTCGCACCCCTGAGAAGTCGCATTTCCCAATATCTTCCCATTTTGTTCGAAAACCCAAACCAATCGTATGCTTATTAACGTTGTTTCTGACTATGCGATGTCGCACCCCTCAGTATGTCACAGTTCCTGATACGTACTCACTTGGTCGTTGACCAAAGTTTCGGGACGACCATCAACCATCCACCCTGAAATGTCGCACTCAACCAATGGTGTTTCACCTAGTGTGATGCGTTCATGGCACTGTTCACTGACTGG